TGTGTTTACAGTGTTGCATATATGCTGAAAAGTGAAAAAAAAAAGCATAACTACTAAAATAGTGGCCCGATCATGCCGACTTTCGAACTTGACCTGCGTTATAGTAAGATCGATTACTACTGTGAGTTTCATGACAACAGGCCTATCGGTTTTCCTTGAAATGTGTTTACAGTGTTGCATATTTGCTGAAAAATGAAAAAACAGCATAACTTCTACAATAATGGCCTGATCATGCTGATTTTCGAACTTGACCTGCGTTTTATGAATATTCATCAGCTCTGTAAATATATAGCCAAAAAGTAAAACTGCCTTCCACTTATCGTGTTTACAATGAAAGTGCACGGCGCCGGCGACAGGGACAGTGACGGCGACGACAGACGCAGGTGATGGCAATATGTACAGACACATCTGTACATATTTACTGTATTGTTTGAGAACAGTAAGTGACATGGTTTTTCTGAAATGGTCATTATGGGAGCAGTGCCCAACATAGTTTTTTTTTCAAATTTTGATGCAATATTACATAATGTTTAACAGCATAATGACCATCAATTTTTAATAATGAAATATTAGTATTATGGATATTCAGAAAATGTGACTAGCAAAGGTCTTCAGGCCCATGGAACTTCAAAGTTACAACTTGAAAATGCCAAAATGTAAACAAGACAGCACTGTTCTGAAATGTTTTTTTTTCCATTATTAACAAATTTTTAACATAAAACAAAATTAACAGGTTACTGCCATTTTTATACGATCAACTAAGAAAATTGATGACATGGGAAAAATATCAATACAACAGTGTTAAATGTCCAATTTCCTCCATTCTGAGATTCTGAACATAGTGAATGATTGAATCTGACAAACTGCAATGATATGAGTTTATCGGTTTTTCTTTCATGTACGTCCGCCATTTTTAGGTCACCGGCTTTGTAAAGCCTGGCTTAATTCGTTGAGAATGCGCTCTAACCCTAACCTGTACTTGTCATACAGGAGCCTGGACTTGCATTCCTGGGACTACCATTCCTGTCATACTGATTAAACAAAACAATGAACAATGAACGTGAAACATCTTGGGAATCACCAAGGTAGAATAAAGTATAGCGACTTAGGGCTCATTCCAAATGACACCATTGTTATACAATGTACGTAGATCGATCCAACTCCGCGGGGACTCTCGCTGAATGCAATCAGATTAACAGATAAACACACCTCTCCTTGTTTCCAACTTACTCGTATTATCATCAACTTTTAAAATTTTTACTCAACGTCAGGGTGAGGGTGTTCATTTTTTAACTACCGGGAATCTGTCTGTTTATCGACAGCGTTAATAAAGTAGTATAAAGCCAATCAAAATATGTGAAAATAAATCATTTTGAAAACAGGAAAATGGAGAGAAGAAGAATTTGAAAAAAATAATTCCCATATGTCTGGAAGTTAAGGACATTCATCTTTTCATAGGGACCATTCCCACAGATATTTGGATCGATCTGTCTCCCTGGGGAGTCTCACTAAAGTGCTATCAACTTAACCGGCTGAAATGTCTGTCACGCCTAGTAAAGCTGTTAGGGGGTAATTATCTTTACCCCCTTGCTGATTAGGTAGGCGTGACAGATATTTAAGACGGTTTATTTGACAGCTATTTAGTGAGACTCCAGGGAGTTAGACAGATCCAGATGGATCGATGTAGGCATGGGAACCCAGTCATAGTTTCCGTAACTGTGTTTTCAGAACAGATGCGAAGTCACAAAGGAATGAAATGCGATAGTGTACTTTTAGTAACAGGAACAGATTTTTTGTAAAGCTAGTTTTTTTCATTTGAAAAAAAGTTTTGAGTCTTTTTCCGTATCTAGATATCTAATACTTTCACACATTGCGTGTCTATCAATAGCAAACAAGTTTGTTTTTTATGCCTCAGTTTAATGCCGCATTTCTTCTGCCTTTCCTAATGCGTAGGAAGCATAGTAACTTATTGTAAGCACTTACACGCTACACATTTATGGTTTATTATTCCTCTGGAGTTTTAAGAGTATTATACACTAAGTGGATTTATGTTACACCAGCACGCACACATAACAAACCTGCAAGCAAACAAATAAACACACACATGCCCACAAACACACACTCATGCCCACAAACACACACACACACACACACACTCATGCCCACAAACACACACACACATACATGCCCACAAATAGACACACACACACACACACACACACTTTTCCTTATTGTGAAAACACCGAAGCGTATAAAATTTACACGGAGTCAAGCAATATTGATTTCGGCTCTTTTGTTCAATGGAAAAGCTTTGACGTGAGCACATTACAAACATTCCGTTTGCCAGTCAAGCAAACACAATGAATATATGTTTCCTGTAAATGTTCGTCGAAGCTTTGCTTTTGCTGCATCAGCGGAGCTGATGTGAAAATATCATATATCAAAATGATGAAGTTATATGTTATTAAAAACAATGTGAACTATATGGAGATAAAATTTACGATATCGGATACCAAAAAAAGAAAAAAGAAAAAAAAATCATTAACTGAACATTAAAGGGCATCACCAAACTATTTATTTTTATGTATTGGCTCGCAAAAAAAAAAAAAAAAAAAAAAAAAAGGCTAAAAAGTCAACAAAAGTAATATAATTGAGATAAGATAATTCCGAGAAGCGTTTCATCATAACCGCATTGTTAAATTGTTTTCTTTTTACTCTTTGGATTGGGAAAAAAAAACTTAAAGAAAGACTAGGGGGTAGACAGAGACAGACAATAAGAAAGGAAGAAAAATAGAAAGAAAGAATTAAGGCAAAAAAAAAAAAAAAAAGGAGCGTACAGGAAAGATAATACGCACTTTTGTGTCATGTCAAAAATATAAGTGAAAAGTGACGTTTAACTGAGTAATTGAAAAAGTAAATGTCCCCATAAAATGTCAATAAGCAAATAAGTATTACTTTCGTCGGGGAAAATGTATAAGTGAATTGAGTGTATTTAATTATAGTCCTATCCTTACCGGAAACATTTTTCACGGGGTCAAGCGTTTCGGACTGCAATCGTGCCGTTTGTGACGTACCTCACAGCATATAAGCAGCGTTTAGACAGGAGACATTTTCGACCGGAAATTGGTCTAAATCGTGTCTTCAGGCAACCACTGTGAAAAGAGGCTCCACTGAATAACAAGCAATATGGACAAACTAGGTACTTTCTTACGGTCTAAATTAGACCCAGCTTGAGCGCAACTAATTTATGTCTTGCACTAAGTACTTGGGCCCAAGTGTTTTTTAGTCTTCTGAACTGAAGATAATTGGACGCGAAGTTTCCTCACCACACTCGTCGCATTTGTGCGCAATATTTCTCAATCGTTGATGCTGTAGAATAACTGTGCCCCCGAAACTAGCCCAGTGCACATTAGGACAGTTTAAGGCTGGGCATATCTTTTGATGCGTTGGCGTTTCTTACAGAGCTGTGACAACGACTAATGGATTTTGATTTATTTATGAAAGTAAAATGTATTTATTTTATCAAAATCCGCCATGAGCATTAACACTCACTATTATGTTATGTTATGTTATGTGATTTAGAGGATGATCCTTTGGGCATTTGTTCTGAACAGTTACTTCTTGTAACTTGATTACGAATCTCTCTCTCTCTCTCTTTCTCTCTCTCTCTCTCTCTCAATTCCACTAAACTCGAAGCATGTATGTATGCATGTGATTCATTGTGGTTTTCTAAACTACAAAGCATTTATCGTCTTACTTTCGAAATGTCACCGAATAAGTCCACCTTCGCAATCTGATCCCGCTTCAGAAGTAACGGAAGCACGCAATACATAATGAAATCGTTATATTGTGAAAGCTTGCGATTCGACAGTAATTATTCAAAAAAAAAAAAAAAAAAAA